AAAAAAAAAAAAAAAGAAATAACCGAAACCCCAACAACCAATCAGCCAAAAAACCCACCAGAATTTCCGAGGACTCAGAAATATATTTTTTCTCCTTTTCATGCAAATATAGTAAGCTGTACAATAGTCAAGAGTTAATGCAATTAACCTAATACTAGATTAAAACTTAGGAAAACAAGAGTTAAAATTTTCATGAATACACAATACAGAAACACATTTATGGCGGTTGGCAGTATACTACAGAAATGCAGAATAAAAATGCTAACTCTATCTGTGCAAGGTTATTAGCTTGAAATAATTTCTATTGCACTCTTTCACAACTTGAGAATGTTTCATAATGGTTGACATAATTGTACTTTTACATAACGCCATGGATTCTTTTTATTCATGGACTTATCCTTTGGGCTGGAAGAATCACAGGCAGTACTGATGTCATTATAATTTTAAGTAACTCAAAAAAATTTACCTTCTGTGATCTATTTTTCAAACCTCTCCTTGCTCTGTGATTTAAAAACAGTCAAAAAGTTTATTTTGTATAGTCGGAGAAGGGAAAAAAACACAGATGCCATGTAACAATCTTGTTCTGCAACGGGTGTACATATTTCTAGCTACCTTTAGGATTTTTCCAAATGAAAGAATTATTCGTGTTCAAGGAACCTCAGGAAGTCATTAAAGGACTGAAAATACTAAAATTCAGACAGGTTACTTTGGGCTTTGTTCAGCCTATTCTTGAAAAAAATCCAAGAACAGAGACTCCCCAACCTTTCTGGACAACCTGTTCTAGTGACTAATTATCCTCACAGTGACTTTTTTCTTTATTTTCTTATCCAGTTGGAAGTTCCCCTTCTTCAATTTATGACGACTGTCTCTCTCTAAGGCACCTTAGAACAAAGGGTTTTCTTCATGTCACATCCACACACTGCATACATATATTCAATTACTGGAAAATGATGGCAAGGTCACAGAAATGAATTGCCAAGGCAGTACAGTTAGAGAATGGATAAGTTGACAGAGGAAGCTCATACTATTCCTTTCATTCTTTTCATCTTTTGTTTCATTTCAACCGTAAGGAAGACTTCTCAAAACGTGATACTAGAATTTAAAATGTCCAGAAACTAAATAATGATAAATATTTTGTAAACAGATACAGTAACAAGTATTTCCAATACATAAAAATGACTATGTAAACAAACCATCCATCAGAGAATAGCAGAATTTATGAGCCATTTTGTAAGTCAAAAACATGACTCACGAACTCTATTTCCTCAAAACCTCTAAATAAGAATCCATCTTTCAATCATACCATTAAGAGTAATGAAAAGTCAGACTACTTCTCAGATTCATAAATTCTATAAACATTTGATTTGTTACTCTGAAGAATGTGACTAAGCAGATGAGCACAAATATTTACAAATAGATAAAAATCTATTTGTAAATATAATAAAGAAATACAATTTCTAATGTAACTATGAGGCTCAGTGCTATTGAACCTCCAGAGTACTGTTATAAAAGTGGTTTAAAACACTGAGGTATACAACCATCCTTTCTTCAGTGAAAAAACTGTTCTCAAGCAACTGGTAAACAAGGAGATCTGACTACAAATAATGAAAGCATACATTAATTATTAACTCATTAGCAAGCATACTCCCCACTCCTACCCAGAAATAAATTCTTGTTGACTTAACTGCTGATGAGTTAGTTCCCAACTATGCTATTTCTAACACTCATTGGTTTAGGCAATTGTTAGTACAGTTATGTAAATTGCCATAGACCCATAGATTTCAGTGTGTATCTGGTAATTTCATACTCTGCCTCCTCTGACAGTATTATATAGCTTTTTAAAGGCTGAAATGAAATGAAACAGACTAGACCAACACAAAAATTGAAGTAGTCTACAAATCTGTGTTCAGTGATACATTCCTCATAAGTTCTCTGAGGAAAAGATGTTTGGCATGACCTGCATTTTTCCTTTTGCTGACTACCATGGCAGCAGAGCAAAGAATGCTCAGCTCTAAAGTGAAACAGAAATGCCAAGATAGCATCTCTGATGACTGCAATGACAATGCCATGGCTACAGCAACAAATGGAGAACTTGGAACACCAACAAGTTTTCTGCTTTGGATTACAAGGTTTTTTCCTCTCCATTGTGCTATAATAGTATCACATAAAATAAAGAGCCTACCAAAATATTTATTTCAGTTAGCTACTAGAAGTGTAGGAAGGAACGGTTACATTGTTATGACACCAGTGGAGACATCTTGGATACTTCCTCTATGAGATTGTGCACTAGTCAAAAATGATTTATTTTATTTATTTGCAAGATTAGAACTTAAATCTGCAATTTAAAATCTGACTCTAAGGTCTTATTCCAACGGCATCGATTCCAGTACCAAATAGTCTGAGTTAAAGAGTCCCCGATGACTCCTTTCACAGTGAGGCTTGGACTCCTTCATAAGGCAAGTTTTTATTCTGGTGCTCTGATCAAGCTCAAGTAAACAGTTATTAGCTTTAACTGAGTTTACTGTAGTTGCCTTCTTTCTTCTACTTCTATTGCAATATTGGTTTTGACCTAAAAATACACAGTTCTCCTTTCCTAAGTGAAATCTGCACTCATAAAAAGGGAGAAAATACAGCAAGAGGGAGTTTTACACACTCAGTTCAGACTGCTCTTGCCATCATTTCCTTCAATTTTGCACTGTGTCCATTTTTGAGATGGACATTTACACTGCTGTCATGCTGTATTAAAATTAGTGTTTTATTAATGAAATAAGCATACTGGTGCAATTTCATAGCTTTTATATAAGCTTCTTAACTGATTGTATTAATAAGATGGAAAGAATATTTGCAAGTCATAAAGGAGAAAAATAAGAGCAATGCCTGGTAACAACCTGTCCTATTTGGTTCCTGAGAACCCAACTGTTAAGGAAGCATTTTCTGCACTGTGAATCTTAAAAGTCTTTGCTGAAATCTCGTGTTTTGAAGATGTTTTATGTTTAAGTAAATTGTTACAGAACAGATGATCAACATAACAGGATTAAATAAAGCTTTTAGCAATCTTATATCTGAAAATCAAGGTTTTTTATTTTCTGGCAGAAATACCTTTTTATTAATCACTTATATTTCAAACTATTGCTAAAATACTTATTAACATATTTCGTTTCTTTTCATCATCCTCCTTACCTAACTTCACAGTCTGAGTGCCTCTGGGCAAGAAAACACAGAGACTTTTAGTTAACTTCTAATCACAGAATCACAGAATCGTAGGGGTTGGAAGGGACCTCCAGAGATCATCGAGTCCAACCCCCTGCCAAAGCAGGATCCCTACACCAGGTCGCACAAGTAGGTGTCCAGGCGGGTCTTGAATATCTCCAGAGAAGGAGACTCCACAACCTCCCTGGGCAGCCTGTTCCACTGCTCCGTCACCCTCACCTTAAAGAAGTTCTTGCGCACATTGGTGCGGAACTTCCTGTGCTCCAGCTTCTGGCCATTTCCCCTTGTCCTGTCTCCACACACTGCTGAAAACAGTCTGGCCTCACCATTCTGCCCCCCACACATTAGATATTTATAGTCCTGGATCTGGTCCCCTCTCAGTCTTCTTTTCTCAAGGCTAAACTGACCCAGTTCACGTAGCCTTTCTTCATAGGGGAGATGCTCCAGGCCCTTCACCATCTTTGTGGCTCTCCGCTGGACTCTTTCCAAGAGATCCCTGTCTTTTTTGTACTGGGGAGCCCAGAACTGGACACAGTACTCCAGATGAGGCCTTGCCAGGGCAGAGTAGAGGGGGAGGATCACCTCCCTCGACCTGCTGGCCATGCTCTTTTTAATGCACCCCAGAATGCCGTTGGCCTTTTTGGCCACAAGGGCACACTGCTGGCTCATGGCCGACCTGTCATCCATCAGGACACCCAGGTCCCTCTCCGCAGAGCTCCTCTCCAGCAGGTCATCCCCCAACCTGTACCAGTGCATGCAATTATTCCTCCCTAAATAATAGTAGAATAGTTATTCAAAACTATAAAGGTCCTGAATATTTATTCCTGAAGAAAGTATCTCCTGACTAATCTCGGTGGAAAAAACACTGTTTTCAAAATATCTTGTACATCATATACACATCAGCTCACGCACAATTTACAAAAACTACTCTCCCTCTGTATATGACAAGTTCCCCTATACATGACAAGAGGTGTCACATCTCACTTGTTGAATAGAATAAAGAATTGATACTGCACTTTGTGATTTGCAAGGTAAAATACAAATGAAAAGCCCATTTCATATCAATCTGTATTCCAGAACAGTGACATGAAGTTTCTATTCCCTGGGGGTTCAGTTACCTCGAGCTTGTCAGAATACACAAGTGAACACACTGCTGTAATGTGAGGGGACCTCTCCGGAAGAAGTTGAAAAGGTAAATCAAAAATCGTTTGATCACTAAGTTAATAAAGGTGATCTCAAGGCTGAGAATTATATCCTTCCGCAAAAGCAAGTCTGAAGCTAAGCTTCTAAACTTGAGAAGGTATTTTGGCAACAAGCATCATAAACATGCTAACATTTACTCTAGGGGTATTAGGCCAGACTTCACTGTTGTGGGAATGGGTGATAATTAGGCACAAGTTTTACATTATCAGAATTCTCTCAGAGAGGAAAGATCACTACTACAGAGACTGCTGCAATTCACGTGAACACTGTGACTTTTTGATTATAATGATGACAGGCTTTTGAAAAGCTGGAGAATGGCTACGGATGTGGAAGGAATTTTGGCATTTTTTTGCAATGAGTTATCCAGGCCCCACTATGTCAGCTATGGTCCATACTCCACCATAGCCTCTGATCCCTTGCTGTGCACCATGGCTGTATCTTGACAGCAGGTCTATCATCATCCCCCTACATTCTCTGACTTCTTATATCACAGAGTACTTAATTCAGTATCTCAACATACACTCTTAACTCATTCACCCTTACTCTCCCTCCAAATGCATAACACAATGACTGCCAGCACCTTGATGAAGATCCTCTGAACTGTCAAAAGAATAAAGAGCAGATTTTTGCATGGACACAAGCCCTTGCTCAATATGAAGCATACATAGTTCCTTTTGGACTACTACATGGTAATGTATAAACAGGCAGCAGGAAAATCAACACATATGTATAAGTTTTATTGAACAGTTGAGATGGCAGTGACTAGAATTATCATTTTGTATTTTAACTTAGTAATGTAAGGCCTTTTCCCCCTGGTAGAGGGGAATGCGTTATGGTTACTAGTGGCAGCAAATATTCTTATTTCCTAATACAGAAAAGTTGCATCACAGTAATCCTAGAAAAGTGGCCAGGAAGGTACATGGACATAGACGTTGCTGCAGTGTTGGCAATCAAGGATCTGAAAATCAAGCATCTTCCCAAAAGGAGACATAACTTAGATGAGAAGGAGGTGATACTCTTCATGTAACTATACAAGACAATAGTGAGTTGCAGAGCCACTGCAAGAGAGTGCCGTGTGAGGATGGCACATCTGACATCAACTGTTAACTCCATTTAATCTGAGACTAGTAACCAGAAAGCAAAAGCAGCCATATTCTAAAGAAATTAGTGTTCATATGGCAAAGCTATCCATTTTATCTAACGCTTAGCTTTACCTTACAGTTTTTTAAGGTATGAACTTTATCTTAAAATCCCATACACCAAAAATATTGGAAAAAAAGGGGTGACATGTCCTTTGCATGCATTGAAAAAGTAAATCTTTCCCCGTTTCAAGTGAAAGCACATGCATATTATCAGGCACGTTTGAGTAGTCTATCTTCAGAAACGAAGAAATATAACATGAAGTTGATACTGACTGCTTTGAATTGTCACCTGTGGGTTTTTCTAACTTCTGATTTCTCATTGTCTCAGTTTTTCAATGGTAACATATAACAGTGGCACTAGTAAATAGTAATGATTGGATAGCAGAGGAAGAAATCTCAGAATGTAGCATATATACATCAATTAACATAAATTAAGAAAGTAAGTATGGATAAAAACTTATATCCTAACTTCATTGACCAAATTGAGTTAAATTAGGAAGAAAGTTGAGTTAAATAGGAAGAAAACAAACTGTAAAGGGTGTCAAGTCTGATATCCATATCCAAAATATTAAAATTTCTTCTACTCCTAAAATTATGCTCCATTTTCCACTCTTGCTGACCAAAGCTGGAAATATTCTTAACTCTCCAGCAAGTTCTACAGTACACTAGGCCTTCCTCTTACTTCTTTGTGAAAAAGAGTGCTTTCTTGTAAGCAACAGAAAACACAGGGATCAGTCACTGGCTGACTAGAAGATAAGAAGGAAGTGTAAGAGACCATTAGAATCTTCATTAATGCTGCCTGCTACAAATAGCACTCTCTTGCAATCTAAGTAGTGTTGCATAGTACTTCCAGTTAGATCAGAACTGTATTGTTCTGATCTAATCACAGGACTGAGAGGGATGATGCATTCTGTAAATATGCATTTCAATTAACTTTTGTAAAACTTGTAGTAGGTACTTTCTACCATTCAGGACAAAGGGAGGTACTTATCATCGGTCTTCAGTAGCAGATCAGCAAGAATACTTCTTACCTGTGACCCTTTCTTGCTACCTGGCAGATTAATTATGAGAGTTTTCCCTCTGATTCCACATACAGGTCTGAAAAGAAAGAAATCCACAGTGAAATTTTTGTAGGCAAATTTCTTCACTGTAGAAAGAAGAAAACATTTAAGATAAACTCTGTAATTCACTAGAGTTTGTCAAATCAATCTCTAACACCTATATTTGCTGCTGGTTTTCTCACAAAACAGCTTAGGAGAAGGTGAAATAGTGTTTGACAAGGGATGGAAAATTCTAACATTTAATTGATAGCGTAAACACTATTTCCATCTTTTTCTAGTTTTGTGTAGCACTCTTAATTCTGTTGTTTACTTCTGTCAAATACATTCTTAGATACAGTTCCTATCTGCTCAAGCAAATAGCTCCCCGGTAATGTAATTGATGGTTATCAAACACTATTTCTCTCGACAGGTTAAAAAAAACCAAGTCATGCTGGTTGCGTTAATTCAAACATATATTCTTTTATTTTATTTTTTTTTAAGATTCAGCATAAGAAAAGCACAGTAGGAAGTAATTCTCAAGTGAAAATTACACTTAAGTAGTTCAAATCTAATTCTTCCTAAGAGTCTCTTGCTCCTTCAAAAAGAAGAAAACAACTACTGAAGATTTAACATTTTATTTTATGCCTTCAGGGATTTTCTTTGGTTTTAATGCAGTGCTAAACTTATATACTCGCGTGTTGAAGGGGCTCCTCTTAAGCTTTCTGTCATTTAGAGTTTAACTGTTCTTCCTTTTAGCTATCTTTTTTCCAAACAAACAAACAAACAAACAGAAAAAAAAAAACAACACTTCTAGATTTTGTCTGGAGGAAAAGCCACATGGCTCCTGATTATTTTCTTTGTTTATCAAAACAGTGATAAAACAAACAGAGCTAAGATATAAAGCTAAGAAAAAAGTTAAGAGCAAAAACCAAACCACAACAATATGGAAGCTACATGGAGAGAAACTGTGTAACAGTCTCTTTTTCAAAGAACATGAACCAAAGTGAAGACAGGAAAAAATATATATATTGACAGGATATTACCAAACTCTTGAGTAGCTGACTTCCTTGGATTTTCTCTTAGATAAATAATTCCCAGTAGTTACTTTCATTTAGTGGTAGCATGGCATTTTCAAGCAAAGTAACAAGTATTTCTAGTGACAGCTGTCCTAATGATCACAGTTAAATACTACAGAGACAGTTATTGTGCCACAAGATTAACCTCTGATATTCTAGTCAAACCAACCAAAAGAGAAGTCTTATTTTCAACGGACAGCTTGAATACTGCCTGACTCCAAGCCCTCGTCTTCCTCTGCTCACTTCTTAAACATTACATGCCCTAAAAATTCCAGGTAGCTGACTAACATTCTACAGCAATATGAAGTAAAGACCTTGAGTTAAAGAAAAATGCTCATTTACTATTGTTTTGGTAGTCAAACTATAGTTTAGGACATATTAAAATTAAGGGAAACTCCAGGAAATTTCCACTGAAGAATTACAAAGATACGTAGTGGCTCAAGACAGAAATGGGATTGCCAAAAATTTCTCATGAGAACATGTAAAATGTTCTATTCTATGATACTAAAAGTAAGCTTAAATATTTAGGAACTGAATGGTTTGCAAAAAATAGTGCATGTTCACAACAAAAACACACATATGTGCATGCATTCAAGGTAATTTGAGAGAGAAGTGAATGATCTGCCTCAAAATGGGGATCAACAGGTAGGTGCTATAGATCTTACATTATCCACAGCCTTTTGATGCACCGCACAGAAATTTAAAAAAAATACAGAGATGTTGAGGAGAAAAAAGGAATACAATCAGGGAGTTGAAGGAAAAACAGAATAAAAGAGACAGAAAAAAACAAATGTTGGAAGAAAATACAGATCTGATGGAGAAGTGGAAGAGAGGAACACCTTTCTGGGAATAAATTACGACTGTAAAAGCAGAATAAATGTGCAAGAAGGCAGAGAGTACTTTAAAAAGACTCAGTAAGGACTGGAATGGCATGAGTAATTGGCTTGGGTAAGGAATAAGATACTTCTGGGACAAGAAGAGTTGGAAGGTCACAGAGAAACAGGAAACACTGAAAGGTCTGTGATCCAACACACTCCCTCAGAGTGTGGATCCTCACACTGGACCTCAGAGTTGGATTCCCATTATGTGCATCTCAGAGGCTTCTCATCTGTCATAAGTATCTGTGAATGTAGTTTACAAAATAATCCACCACTTTCTAATGCTGGCCCCATGGTCAGGAAGAGAGCCAATAACTTCATTTCTAAAAGTTCAAGTGATAAATTTCCAACAAGTGTTGAATTGATCCAACGTTTTCAAAACAGCATGTGATTTACAAAAAAGCCACCTCAATTTTTCAAAATGAAGTTCTGCGTTTTTTCTTTTTTTGGTAAATTACATACATAAGAATCTATAAGTGCTCCATTTTAAAATTAAGTCAACAACATTCAAGCTTGGGATAGAAGAATTCACTAAAAAACTCCTTCATAGCACATATGCTTAACTTAACATTACGATCTGAATAGCACTATAGAATAGCACTATAAAGATACATTTAGACCTGAAGTAAACGTTTTCATTGGAAATTTTTTACAGTTTTAACATGATTGCATGCGGTATCGTGACATAACATTTTCATTATAGGTTCACAGAGGAGTTAAGTTCCATCACTGTCTTCAATGACTACTTTGAGCTTGAGGTTAAGGAATATTTTCTTGCTGTATGTACAGAAGACAGGTTGCAGTCCAGCATTTAAAACATCCTTTCAGACATCCTGATCACATTACATCCTAAATCTTGGTTATTCAGTGTCATCTAATTGCATATCTTTCTCGTCATCAGAAACAGAACAGCTAAATTAACTGTTCCTCTCTTTGATATACCTTTGCTATACTTTAATTTCAAAATACATAAATTATGACATCAAAAATTATGTCAGATGAAAAAATGAAAATATTCGCTAGTTTTGATGGAATCTGAAAATGTTACCTTGGTAATGCTGTCATTTGAGATACACAAAGTGATATGTAAAGTTTTCAAACACTTTGCTGAATTTGTAGAATTCTCATCTAAATGTCCTTTAAAAATCAAAGTATCTGAATAGAGAGATTTAGACAGATTTGAAAATGTTTCCTTTATATATTACTGTTGTAATTATTCTTATGACCTTATTATGCAGTGAGAAAAAAAAACTCTAACAGCCCCTTACCTTGAAATGACATGCAAGCACAAACTAAATTACAAAATATATTGCTATTAATAAATCTATGATAGGAAAATGATCCATAATTCAACTCCTAAATGAAATACAGGGTAACAAGAGGTGTCACTGATAAGCAGTAACATGGGGAATATCTGTTGCTAACTAACAAGAAACACTAAAATCTAGAATTTAATGTATTAAATCCGAAAGCGTATCCAAAGAACTTCTGCTGATACTAGAATAAAAGGAAAAACAATACATTTCTATTTATCAAGGTTTTTTTGTTTGTTTGTTTTCTTTTTTGCATTTTAATTACTTGATGAACAACATACAGAAGAATTCATCACTCCCACTGAAATGTCACAGCTCTAGGGTGAAAAGACAGCTGTTTAACAGCATGCATCAATATTACAAATAGCTTAGCACAGAAAATACATAAAGATGCTGTGGTTAAGAGAGACTACAGAGGAAATTAAATAAAAGAATGCAATTACCACTGTTGGAATTTGACCACTTCTCTAAAGTTAAGACTTCTAGTCCTGATAACATCAGCAATCTTCAATTATTTTTATATAGTCATCCCACTACCTTGTATATTTCTAAGGAAATAGTTCACTTCATATTTTGAAGGAAATATTCTTACCTAGAGAGCATGCCCAGAGGGGTTACATTAAGTGATCCCATCAGCATTGCAAGGGCCATCCCCGGGGCTTCTCGCTCTATTACTTCTTTAGTGGCCTGCAACCAAAAATTAAATAGCAAAGTGAGTGAAAAATAACAAGGACTAGAAAAATATTAAATAAACTTAAATTTGGGTAGGAAAATCTTTTTTTGTTTGCTTCAGAGCCAAAAGATGTCCTTGATAAACTCTCAGCACTGGAGTATGTTGAAGGATTTTTTTCTTGGTTGTGTAAAATAGGGAAAGACAAGGGGGTGGGAAGAAGCACTGTTAGCTGTATTTATTGTGAGGACACCTACAGAACATTTTAAAAGTCAAGACCCTCTATATGGAGGGAATACTAACAAAGACCACATAAACAACTCCCTCTAGCAGAAAGGAAAGAATATTTGTGAATAAGCAAAGAGTAGACTGTATATAATGATTTGTTCTTTCTCCCCAATCTGTCACGTTTTCCAGGTGAGATTTTCCCAGGTTCAAGAAGGGCAAATAGGTCTGTGCAGGAAACAAAACAAAACAATTGCAAAGGGAAACCCATGTAGCAGGAAAGCAAGAAAATAGTAAAATGGTAATGGTAATGGCCAGAGGCTAACGCCTTCCCATTTGATCATGTCAGCAAAACAGCGATTCCAAACAAGCTGGTGGCTTTTATTCACAAGCAGTTTCTATGCTTTGGGCACTGAGAAGCCTGGAAGCAGAGTCTGAAAATTCTTCTGTGTTAAGTCCTTTTGTTATATAGGGTATCAGCTGTGAAATGATTTTCCAGGAATATTCACAAACTTCTGTCTTTCCTTTCTAAGGCAAATAAAACTATGAAATCCACTGTAAAACATCCAGTCAAACGACTATGCTTTAATGGCACAGCTACCAAGATAGAAAAACATGTTTTAAATGTAAGGACACACTGAATAAGCTAAATATTCTCAGCAGTTTGATATATTAAAGAATATTATGGAAGAAATCCAGACAAATGATTTTGTGGAAAAGATTACATTACAACTCAGATCTTAATACTTTTATAAGCTCCCAGTTTACAAAGCCATGTCATAGAGAAGGAAAACACGGCTTAAAAGTTTTTTCAGTGGCATCCCTATGAGAAGGATCCAGTAATCCAGGCATGTCCAAGCCATGGTTCAATTCTGGCCAGCCCACCCTGCCCTGAACTATAAAGGCAGCAGCACTGCCCAGTACTGGGTGCATACCCATTGCTCACAACAGTCAAGCCATCAGTGTGCTATTAACTCTGCCTGAGCTAAAATCAGGGCACAAGGAGGGCACAGTGAAGTGCTAATTCAAGTTATGGGAAATAACTTTATGCATTTTGATACACTGGCTAACCACAGTCCTGTGAACAGCAAAAAAAAAAAAAAAAACGCAGCTGTGTTTTCTGTTTTGATAAAGAAATTTAAGAATAGGCTTCAAGAGTGCTGAAAAAATAATCAATTTTTTTTTTTTGGCGTATTTGTGATTCTGTTTTCAATTGCCATAAATAAATTACCTGCAAATTTTCAAATGGAACATATTGAGTTGAGATCATATATGCAACTCAAAGAAAAATGTGATTGTGGTTATCTATCAGGTCTTTATGAGCCCTACATTATCAGAGAAAAAAATCCCTCCCTTCCCAGTCACACCTTATTCATGTCATCACTTTTGACTGTACATATATTAGTGAACAACTGTTTTCAAGGATGAAGCACAGGAGGAGAAAATTTCATAAAAATCTCTGACAAGACCTTGAGAACTCGGTAAGAATTGCAGCCACGTCCATAGAACAAGACCGATGCATTTGTTTTGCAAACTCACAGTCAAATATCCAACTAGATTTATGTTTTTCTTCTTCGATTTGAATAAAAAATACTAAAGATTAAAAAAAAAATTGTTACTTATACAGAGGAACTATATTATATTTATGAAGGCTACTCTGAAAATAATGCTCCTATTTTGTGACATCAGCCTACAATGTCAGAGGTAGATGTTGGTGGTATGGCAGTAGAGGTTGAAACTTCCCACCAATATTCCATTACATTTTGTTGCTGTGTGACAGATGGCAGCAGATGGGCAATCTAACAAGATGGCATCTGACATGAAAGAGAGTATGAAGCAAAGATGTAGCCCTTAATTCCTCCATGGGGAAAAAAATTGCACTCATTTGACAGTCACTGATGCTTGCTGAATGTGTATGGAGACCAAACAGTGGATGTGAGCACAGTGTGGCAGTAGGTGGTGCATTTCAGCAGTGATGACCCTAACAGTGGGTCACCTCTGCTGTTGCAGATTTTGAGAAACAGAACATGCAGGCCCTCGTTCACAAATGCATAGCTAATGGCAATGACCCCATTGAAAAATAGCATTTTGTAGCTGAGAATGAGCTTTATTAAACAGCGTTGTGCTCTTCGTATCTGCTGTAGTTTCCATGAAAATAAATAGGAGGCATTACTTTCAGAGCAACCAACGTCTATGCAGCCCAAGACAATTCCTCTTCATTCAGTGTGGCCCAGGAAAGCCAAAAGATTGGACACCCATGCCAGTAGTCACACAGCAAGAACACTTTACAGGAAGAAATACACAAATCAGAAAAACAAAAGAAAACAAAAAAACAGTACAAGTATTCCACTGGCCCTTCTCAAATATTACCACTAACATTTAATGTGCTTTAGAGAAATACGTCAGTATCAGAAGGCATCAGACGCAACTACCAAGTAAATCGTCAGATATTTTATCAAAAAGCAAACTTGGTATGTGCTATTGTGGGAAGCAGGAACTTTGGTTTATACAAAACCAAGCAGTTTCAATTCAGTAGCTAATAGCACAGTCTCTTATTTCCAGCAAATCAACTCAATGATATGGGCAAAATTAAAATATCTGCATTGAGGAAGAATGCCAAAAGGTACCCGCTGAGGTATTAAATTAGCAGTTACACATTAAAAATTCTGAAGAAAAATGCTCTGCAGTGTTGTATGGACATTTTGCTGACAATGAAAAACTTGGTAAAACAGGGAAGTCTCTGTGTGCATACAGTAAGTATATACTATGCCTTTTATTTTCAGCAATGCCATGCTTCAAAGATATTCAAAACTAGTTTTAAATATAAAGTGCATTTTGAGATTTCTTTTCTGCCCTTGAGCACAGTGACACTTTGAAGATATCATTAGTTAAAATTCTAAGTAGGCTTCAAAGGTAGTACAAGATGCAAAAGAGTTCCACAAACAATGACCCTGCAGCTCCGGGAGTCCTTCAATGAAATTCAAGTCCATTCTCTAACTTCACAAGAAAAATGACCTTCACAAAATGTCACTGCTAGCAGCCAATGTGATTATTAAAAATGTATAAACTAAGCAGCAGCAAAATCTGAAAGGGCAGAAAGTCCAAGTAGCAGTACAGCCCTCAACACAAGTTTCTAAAAATACTTGTTTCAAAATACGTATGCTTGTATTCATTTCTGCAGGCAGACTTCTACAGACAGGGGAATGTTTCCTACAGTCTAACTGGACAGATGTAACCAAAATGGCTGCTGTTAAGTAAACATCTTTTACAGTGACATCTGCTCTAGGGATGTCCTGAAATAAGCTTTATTTAAATAGCTCACCAGGAAGCCCATTCTGGCCATACACAAACAGATGAATGAAATTAAGGATGCTGCAGTGATTTACAGATGGTTTGTATCTATCTGTAAGTTATCTATTAGTTTCACCTAAAAGGATACTGAAGTGCTGCTGGACAAGTTTTCTAAAACATCTTTCAAGACTGAAGGAAGCGTGGAAGAGAGATGCAGAAAGTCCATATTGCCTGCATCCCACCGCGGAGTTACAGCCTGGCACCAATGTCTGCACAGAGGCAACCTGTTAAAGCCTGACAGTGACCCAGCTCTTCCATGCTTTACCAATACTATAGCAAGGTTGAGTTAAGATTGTAAAACTTTGTTTCATGGGCAATTTCAGATGCCTTTAATGATACTTATAAAGAAAATCATCAGGTTAGCACCTAGCCAAGACCTTATAGCACAACTCAGTTTTCTTCAGTCACTTGACAGGATTAGAGGATGACTGGGCAAGAAATGTCCTGAGCATATTAACAGAAAAAATAGTATATACGTTACAGTAATGGACAAAACTGAAACATTCTAATACAAACGTAATCAGACGTTTTCAGGGTGTGACAGACTTACCAATAGATATTATTTCATTTTAAGTCACAGTATCTGATGGTTTTCAGTTTTAAGACATGTAACAATCTCATGACTTTTCCCTGTTTGACATGAAACTCAGAAATCTGTAAAAGAAAATACTGCAACAGAGTTCTTGGTAGCCTCACCACCAGTCAGCCCTTGCCTGCAGCATGGAGCCACAGCACTGGCACCTTCTCCTCTAGAGAGCACAGTGAGGGCAAGGGAATGAAGTGAGCAGGATGGAAATAAGGCTGCACAAGGTAACATGGACTGAAAATACACGAGGGGAAAACTCATAAGGAGGAAAATGGAAGACAGAATTCTATACAGCTGTCAGACTGTGGGGGAACCAGGGAAAGAGAGAATGGGACTTAAAGAAATGAAGTTTCTGCTCCTGACAGAAGTGGCATTAACAATTAGATAATTATTTTGAACTACCACTTTTTAGGATTCAGTAACAATGTCGATGAGAACATTTCTTTTATATCTCATTGCTATATGAATAGATCCAAATATTCTGAAACATGTTTTTGATAGTATTCAAAGTGTCTTTTTATTGGAGTTAGAGCATTATGTTCCCAAACCAACTGATATATTTTTAGATATCTTTGACGTAGTTGTGGTTGCTTAACAGATGGCTTGCTGCCAATTGGTTTGAGAGTTCTCTGCTGCTTCATTGCCTTTCTTTTCCTTCATACAAATTACATTAGGTGAAAGCCCTTCCAGGCAGCTTGTAAAGGATATACCCACTGCAGACTGATTTAATTATAACACCTAGGATTCTTCTTGAAATGCTCAGAAACTCCTTATCTTTCTCTTTCAGGTATTAAACATGGTGAAGTTTGACCTCTTACCAGAAAGTAGTGAACTGAGACATAATTTTATATACCC